AAAGAAGCCGTAATCTAATAGCAACCCCGTCAAAAATGTTGCTGTATATATATGTTAATGTGGCGTTGAGTGGGCGTAGCAATAAGGCTGCCTGTTATCGCAGGGTTAAAGAGGTGGGACAAAACTGACTATGCGTTTTGCATCCACACACCCTTTCCTCCCCAAGATAATTAGTTCAAGCTTCAAAATTACAGCTGAATTCGATTAAAAGATTTTACCTCGGGGAGGTATGGAGACAACAACAAGCATAGGAACACCTCCCATTTCTTTAACAGTCAAAGAATGCAGGGTAGAAAAAGTACAGTTAACACTGGTTCAAGCAGGACCCTTACCACATTTTGACCTCATCTGTGATTTACTGCACCTAACATTGAAAACATTTTGAATTCAAGTTTCAGGGGAATTCTTCAGGGTAAACACTCACTCAACGAAAATAATTATATGTGCCATGGTCTCTCCACAGAGTGATGTTTTGGACTGAGTGGAAATCAACTGCAAGCAATTTTTCAAAAGTCATGAAATCAACTTTGGACGGAACACACTGCGCCACTCTGGTAGCTTCCAAGTTTTTTACCTTTGCTGGCATCACTCTTGACAGACGAAGCAAACTTGTTTTCTGGTTGGAATACGGGAGGAGTGTTGTAGAATCCGTCGATTATAGTGGAAATAACAGAAGGGTAGTCTTAAATTATCTGCCTCATTCAAGTCTCAGGGGAGTTACCTTCGCCTCGTCATATTTATTCGTTAGTTCACTCAGGGGCAACCTTCATAAAGTACATGCCTCCAATGGATCAGTTATTAGGAGATTTGTGATCGACCCCAGGGTATCTCATGGACTCGTTGCATTCGACAGCTCTTTGCAGTCCCCAGGTTTGTTATCCTCAAAGTAAAATTAAAGTAAAGGCATGATATCTTTCTTTTTTTTCGGCCATAATTGAAGAAAACTGAAGATAACTTATTGTCTTTAATGTTACATTGAAAATCATGTCAAACAAGGAATATCCATTCAATTGGTTGAGGTCAAAGCGAACCTACGCATGCGCCTTATAGCGGACTTACTCGGCTGCATCTTGTGAGTTCACAACATTCTGACCACTGTGATGACGAATATTATATTCAATAAGAGCAACATTACTGCCTGTTGAGATAAACGTTCTTCTCTCCTTCACTTCCTTCTCGTCAAATTAAAGTCCTAGACGGTGGCCAAAGATATTACAAAGACATGCTGCACGATCGTTTGCTTTATATTACACAGAGGCTATTAACATTGCTAAGTATTTCTTGGCGCGTGTTTTAAAAACTCAAATCATGCAAAATCAAATTTGTTTAACTCTTATAATTGAGTCTAGCTTAGACGGTAGATATTTATCTGGTGATGCAATTGCCCATGAGAGTTGCATTAAAGAATTCGTTTGTAATCAGAATCGGAATGGTCTACGGGTCCCTTTGTTTAAACCGATCCCTTTTGAATCAAATATTATTACAGGTTGATTTGGTGACAGTTTCCTTTGTCTTATATCGCAGTGATCACGTGTCCAGTGTTGCCAACACCGTCCCATGGAACAAAGCTTGGATGTTTATGGAATGTAATGTATTACGGTACAGTTTGTAATTTCTCGTGTAATGATGGCTACATAAAATCTGGCTCTCAAGTAAGAAGATGTCAACGCAACGGAACTTGGACCGGACAGGACTTTGGTTGTCAACGTAGGTTTCCAAGAGTAAATGGGAAACTACTTCCTAGAGGTTATGACGTATGTACCGAGCGCAGCGATATTAGAGATTCTATCTGACGAAACGCTCTAAAGATCTTAGAAGTTCTTTAGGGTGGCCAATTCATAATATCAACCCAGCTGGTAAAACTTTAAAATCACCTCACTATACTCCCCACTGATGCAACGCCATAGTTTCTTTAGAAACTTTCCCCCTCTATTTAATCGCAAACTAAATGAGAAATAAACAAAAAAATTGAGCACATCACGCAATGTCTAAGCGGGAAATTTTGTTGCTTAAACGAAAAGTGGCGTACACGAAAAAAAAATTTTATTTTACTTTTCTAGTTGTCACGTGCCCGTTACCGACCAATGCTGTATTCCTGGGGTGCAACAATAATACGGCAGAGATGATAAATAACACAGAATGCAGGTTCTCTTGTAAGGAAGGATTTGAAGCGAAGGGTTTAACAGTACGAAGATGTAACGAAAATGGAAAATGGAGTGAATCAGAACTTGTCTGCACAGGTATAAGAACCGTAAAATCTTGGAATTTATTTTAAAAAACAGGGTTACTCGAGAATTTTGGTTGCCTTATCGATTGATGATCTTGAATCCGTACTAATCGGTACAAGATCGTCGATAAAGTTTTGATAGTTCGCTGCGATTATAGATCCTAGTGGTTGATCTAAAACCGTCGCTGCTTTCATTAGTATTGTGGCGGTGAAGCTGTCGATCTCATGCATCTCTGCATTGATCAGTCGATGCATAATCGAAGAACTGAAAAAACCATGACGCTCCTGGATCATGACTCGATACAGGAAAGCGGCAACGATAGTTGATCTAACAGCTCAGYYGCAKMMTWMTKMWGAATCCATGCAGGGATTAATCGATTTGTGCTCGTAGAATGCATCGTCACTACCTCTTTGTGTATTAGACTTAGTAACGATGCGTTTCAAATTTTCGCCTTATTCAGTCCTATCAACGATATTGTTACTGAATATACGGCGACTCATGCAGGTCTAACATAATCAGTGTAATTATTTATGAATTCCAATTTTGAGGTGAGCCAGTTTCTTGTACAGTTTTAGGCCGAAATTACAATTCTATAGTAATGTATCTCAGTAGCAACCTCAAGTCTCTTCATTCAGACAAGTAAAACTAGGAACTTGCTGTACTATGACCAAAGGTGGAACTGGTGACGAACATAATGTAAAAAGTCCCTTGAGGATCGACAGGTTTGAACATGAGCGTGGAAAACTGGGTCGAGGTTTTGAGGTGAACGCCCTACTAAATGAGATAAGCACTCCATTGATTGTTTCTTTTTTTGAAAGAGTTGGACACATCGAAGAGTTAGAGGAAATGAAGGCACATCCATTAAAAAAATACACAGTTCATAACAAAAACAAAAAGAAAATGAAAGACAGGCAAAAGAAGTCAAACAACAAAATAAATATTGCATCTTGTTTGTTTGTTTATTTGATTGTTTTTTATATTTACGGATAGTTTATTGGTGAACCCTGACTAAATTTACTCGATTCAGTTTAGGTGATATTGTCAAGACATGGGCTGGCTATTGGTCTTGCTGTGGCAGCTCTGGTATTCCTGTTGTAACACTGTCATTAAAAATAAGTGACTGAAGGGTAAGAATGGCTGACTTCTCTGTCATAAATAGATAATAATATGTAGTAATATCACAAATATTATCTATTAATAGATAATAATATTATTATGTAATAATTAGATAATAATAATAAATAGATAATAATATGGCTGACCGGTCCCTGTCATAAATAAGAACATGATAGATTCTGTTGTAAGAGCGATCAAGAAAGGCTCAAGTTTCTTTCCTTTCTTTTTTTACTTTTTAATTCTAAAATATTGGTTATCGATTTCTATGATGGAGAAAGCATCGTTTTAGCGCAGAAGGAAAATGCCATCCAAGCATAAGTGAAGTTAAAGTTGCTGTTTATCTAAAGTCTAAACCAAGGGGTTACACGACCATGTCGCTTTGCGAACCGTTATCTAATTTATTTTCTTTACTTCCAGTTTCTCTGCATAACTTTCCCCAGGCTCTATTTCAGGTCTTTGAGCAGGGCCTGCGCCTGTGAACTCTTTCCTTCAGAAGACCTTCCATGACTGCCTTACTTGTCTTCAATGACGTAATCAAACACATACCCTTTGGAAGCATCGTAACAAGTGCAGCCATGACGAGAAACGAGAAGTTTTTCATGCTTCAAAGCGTAATCCTCATTTCAAGACTTATCTGTTTAAACGAGGTGAATGCTTCTACGGGTGAGTTTTAATATTCTATTCTAAATACAGGAGAATGTGTTTTGATCGATTTCACTTAGCATCGCAACGGACTTATTATCAAAGGGCCTCCGATAAAACTTAAAATCGTTTATGTACCGGTATGGCGGCATGACCTAAACTGTTTCCTATACATTATTTCTAGGGAAAAGTTCGATCCCGTAACGATTACTTCGAACCAGAATTGGTCAACATTTGAAATTTCAATAGAACGGGCCTCCATAGTCAATTATGAACTCGAACACACTCGATAAGCTCTGAGTACTTCTGGTCATAACATAATCCAAACCGAAATTTTCAAACTGCAATAACAAAATTCTCGCTTGGGAGTGGGAGAACTAGGCAAACAATAACTTTTTTAAGTAATTTCGCTGGAAAACAGAGGGTCAGTTCCTGCGGGTAAGGAAAACATTTGCTCTGCAGCAGCTGTGACAGGTACTCGAGCGTGATGCATAAACATACACTGAGTCTTTATACCGTGATCAACGCTGGTAATTTGCGCGATCGCAGTTCACAAATTTACGGTGTGCTCCTTAATGTGAAAATCTCGACATTCAATAAAGATTCTTGCGCGTATATCTTTCACGTCTGAAAATAATATTTTTTTTACGAGTAACGTAATTCGAAGGAAAGGGAATGCACAATGTAGTAAATTATATATTTAAGCAACAAATTGCACTTCCAAAAAAGACGGTTTCTTCACCTTTTTTGTAAATTTCTTACAACTTGAAAGTCCCGCCGACATCCTTTGGTTTTTTTTTTTTTTTTTACGCTCTCAGACCAGAGTCACTTTTTTCAAGAAATGATAGTGGCGAAAACTCTGTGCCCACTTAAAAATATTTATCTTGAGATCTCATTACAGAGGTCAAAATGGTTTGAAAAATGACACGATTTCAATAAGACCAAAACAGATGAAATGCAACTCAAATTGTAGACCGAAAAAGATTAAAACCGTTCCCTAGGGCACAGAAAAAAAACCGAGTATAATACCCGTCAGCATGCACAGGTAAAATTAGTGGAGACATTCGTGCAAAACAATCGAAGTACTCACCAGATTCGCTCTACTAAGCTAGGATTAACACAGCATGAATAAGGAAATTTACGGAAAATTTAAGTTGGGTAAAGACGCGTAAAGCTAGATTTATGTAATCGGACTTAAAGCTTTCGTAAGGTTAACTTGAGTCTGAAGAGCCAGGTTTACGTTCAATGTTAAGTTTGCGTTAAATTAAACTTTCAACTAGACCGAAGTTGGAGTTGCTGTGAAGCTATCTAAAATGTGTCTAGACACATTAATGCTGATTTACATTTTACCTAAGGGTTGTGATTCGGCATACATTTTTGTATGGCTTACACAAATTGTGTAGCCACACTATGGCACGATCGGATTTATTTATTAATCTATTTATTTATTTATCTATTTATTTATTTATCTATTTATTTATTTATTTATATTGATATTTGATATTTACTTGCCAGTATACGATTCTACGTGCGAATTTTTGTGTTAGCTTATCATTTATGCATGCCTTTTAGAACTATTTAAACGCAACGGCTTGTTCGCACGCAAATTTTTTAATGTACTTTCTAGCCCGAAGTTTTCGTTGCTGATCGTAGACTCTTAACTTAAGCTTCGGCGCCATCGCTACAATCAGGAAAACATTTGTAAGTCATTAAATTCTGTCTTGTATGTTTATCATCGCTCGGCCCTTTTTCTCGTGTATTTTTATTTATTTTCCTAGTCGAAGGTCGCTCGCTCACTCGCTCGATCACGAAACCTCAATCGGCTCCTCGAGTCTCTTCAACCGAGCGCGAGTTCGAAATTTTCTAGACGTAGCATCGACAAGAACGGTAGGCAGGTTTTTGGATAACACAAAATGTGGAATGATGTGATGTTTTGGTTTTCACAGATGATTTTCTACAATGCTTATATTCCATTGCTTATAGGATTCGATCGAGCAAAGTAGTTTAATGTTACAACTGAAATGTGATTATTACGTTTTCCAAGTAATGTCCTGAATTATTCAGACCTTAACATTTCTTGACTTCCCGTAAACTTGGCAGTCTTCGAAATTCTCTTCATAATGGTTCAGATGAGCATTGATATTTAAACTTGGTAACAATACATGTGTATTAGGCCTTTATTTGGTGGACTACAACTTCTTTTCAGTTACTTGTTTGGTTTTGGTTTATTCATCACAAGACTGATATACTTGAAAAATTACACTCTTGATTGGCTGAAAACAGCTAGGTGTCTTTTCCATGTATCACTAGTGCAAAAGTAATTACTAAAGTACAAATGTAAACCAATTCGTAGGCTCAGCAACAATAGATCACTCTAGAAACCAATCAGATTGACAAGAAGTACTGATTGATACGCCACATAGTAACTGACTGAAATAAACAAAAGCTTAAATTTTTTAGGTATATTGATACAAACTGACTAAAGTGTATTCCTGAGTACGATTTCAGCTGAAGGATAAATTTTGATAACATGTCAAGTTTACCATTTGCATGATGATGTCAAGGTCACCTTTTCATTTCATGTCTCCACCTAGCTTGAATTTGGGAAACACACTGGGATGAAATAACAGTATCAATAATAAGAAAACTTGAAAGTATGGTACTTTAAATCATATGATACCATCATGTGCTTGCTTGTACATTGAACTCTGTTGTGTTTAAGTTATGTATGATTACTGTTCCTGAAATCTATTATGGTGACACTTATCTCTTTTGAACTTTCTGTTAAATAAAATCTCCAGGTCAAATTGTGAATCTTATTGGGTTAAAAATTTTTAGCAGTTTTAAGTAATGTTGCTTCAGAGTACTACCAAACATGTGATTCACTAAAGTATTGCTGTGTTCTGATTTTGTTATGCATCTATCTTTTTTCCCTAGATTCTTCCATTTGCAACCCCATATCCAGCTACCTCGACAAAATTTTCCTGTCTTCATTACTGAAAATAGTCTCACAAAACCCAAATACAATAATTAGAGTAAAACTTTTGCTCCCAACTAGCTGAAAATAGAATTTTGTGCCCTAATGGATAAAGCATTGTGTTACTTTGCATGTATGCATTGTCCAAAATTAGTCATACATTCAAACAAAATCAAGCTCCCAATGGCTTCTAGTGTAGATTTCATCATTTCCTGAACGTTTCGGCCCTTCTGGCAAGTTCTGTCCCCGTGTACTGGTACACAAAATGCCAAAAATATTCGTATGAAATACTTCCCTAGAGTTCATTTCACATCACTTGCCATGGAAAAGCCAATCAACCGACAAACTTCAGAACTCAATTCCATTTCGTTAGGTAAACAAAATCATGATTGAATCTATTAGGCCGCCATGGGAGATGATGCTGATGCTGTTTTTAGTTCCTAACATCCTCAAGTTGCATGTGCAACCTTTGTTGTCAAAATGAGGCCTCCATAACAAAGTTTGGCCATTAACCCTCATCTTGAAAATGAACAATTCAGGACTATTCTACGCCATGCAGTTATCTTATTTTATGATGAACAGGAACAATATTCAAAACTCTCTAATCGTAATCAGATATTAGCTCTTCTAACAGAAACTCAACGCAAAAAAAAAAAAAAAAAAAAAACAGCCGAATTTATACCTCGGAAACTCTTTACAATACAATTAATTCTGTGCGCTATCGCGACCCTACCTAAAACAAAGTAAGTTTATGTTTTTCCGATTAGAAGATCTCGATATTTGAAGACAAATCTAACGAGTGATTTCTGCTATGTATCTTATTATGAGGAAACAGAATATTTGGAAGAGCCACTGCTTGTGAAATTTTAACCGGCTGCATTCCGGGGATCTTCTTTTTTTGAATTTTACGGCATAAAGCCAAGTAGAGTCTGTAGAAAAAGCAATTAAATCTCTATCTATCGCTGAACAAAATGTTCTTCTTTATATCGAGGGTAAATTCATAGTAATAAAGGCGAAATATGATTTAAAAAAATTTAGATATTTCCATGCGTCGCAGGTAACAGATTTACATCTCAACTCATTATATCTAAGAATGTTACGAATGCGTCTTATATCCATAGGTCGACAATGGTAAATTACCATAACTACGCTGAAGAACACGTTGTAAATTAAACAGACCTAAAAGGAAAACGATATGCGGCTCAAAACAATGAACTTCTTTCAACATAATTTCCAATATAAAAGCCCATGTATCACGTCTGTATGGTTTTCTGTGCAGTTAACGCGGATAAAATAGTAGTGTGATTTCAACTTCCAAGATACGAGAACACAAGCAAGTGAGATAAGTTTAAAAACGCGCAGCGTTTTGGAAATTGTTTACAAGTAAAGAGAGAAAGCATAATTTGTAGAAGTTGTAGACGTTAGACTGTGGGGGCCCGTCCTGGTCAAAATTATATGTACGATTCAGCAAATGATCCCGGGACCCCACATGCTCCCCAATTTGGACCGAAAATGATCCTCGGTCGCGAATGATCCGCAATGGATACTGGGGTGGATAGTAGAATTTGTGGTTCCGTGTGAATTAAAAAAAATGTTTTGTAGCGCTTTTTCGGGAGTATTTGCACCATGAAAGAGATATCTGATGAAAATCAAATCGGCAAATTGCAGCTATCCCGCTGTGTGAATCCAACTTTTTTATTGTATTTTTTTTTTGTACAGTTTTTGTTGTGATTTGAATCGAGTGGCATCAGAACTTTGGGTCGTCCAATGCTGACTAAAATCGAACCATCAAATGATTGAAGACCGATTTCCCCTTTTACCATTCATATGGTTTGTGTCCCTTTGGATGAATCAAAAGGGTCATTGCTCTCTTATAAAAATAAAAAAAATAAAAAAGCAGTGACAACAATTGTCGATTGTATTTGAACAACTTTTCCAACGCGACCTCCTACAAATATTGTATGTGCCAGTCTCATTTAGGACGATAAGAAAAAGGAAGTATTTGATAGATTGGCCTGTCCTTTGGACGACATCCTGATCACATATTAGACAAAATTTCATTTCCCATGTTTTATTATCCCTTTTTTGCTTAAAGCAATTGATATTATACCAAAGTTTCCAACTGAGCGAATTTAAAATGTAACGCTTGCTCGATCGGTCAGTCAGCATAGTAACGAGGCTATGCCCCGAGCCCAGATCCAGGCTCTTCAGTCGGTGGCACAACCTTTTCTCGGCATTTGCCCCAGTAATCTCCCACTCCAACTTTTTGGCATTCAAATCCCTCGATGCAGCCACAGTGGTAACTATCGGCCTAAAAATGACATCAAGCGAACAAAATATATAAGTTAACTATTATTTCGTTTTTAACAGGCATTTGCAACGTCGGTTTTAATTTTATTGAAGTGATAGGTATCTAAAATTATTCATGGCTGTGCAAGTCAAAAACTGCACAAAAAACTGCTCTGCACCTCCTATTCCCAGTTGTTGGTTGGTATAGGAAAGAAATATGAAGAGGAAAAGATGGGATGAAATGAAGGTTTGTGCAATTAAAAACGGTTTCAGTAATAATTGGTTAGTCCGAAAATTTTGGTTATCTTGTGCAATTTCTATGCAACTGTTATTGATTTCTAAGTCTAATTTCAGTTAATAGTTCGTTTTACGAGTGGACAGGCTACCTATAAAAATATTTAATATATATATGACATGAGTGAATTTGACATATCCCAAGGCCTGGAAAAATATCTAACACTGCCCCGTGTGATTACCATGAATGTTTCAGCTGAACTCACAGTGGACTAAAGACAGCGAATAATGTTTTTATAACGCAAAGAGAAGGCTCTTTGAAGCTTCCGCTTCATCACAAGATCGCCCTCTGAAGCAAAACAAGTTCGCCCGAACTTTTACCAGCCGCCCCTAGAATTCATCAACAAAATCAAGTGAGAAATTGTTTTGGTCGTTTGGCATGAGTCCAGCCCGTAGATTTGTCAGTTTGATTATTGACCATTTGTCGTTTAAGTCTAGGTTCTCGCTTTAGTACCCGTCTTCATGTAAGTGTCCTGAAGCGTAAAGCAAGGGTGCTAGTGGGTATACAGATCTGTTCATCTCATGAGAGTATTCTGATTGACGCAATTCTTAAAGGTCAGATACAAAACATTTTGAATTAAATATAGGGTGGAATGAAGAGAAAATGCGGCATGAGAGAACTCTTGGCAGAATAGGACTGTTACAGTCAAGACGATTTACAGGAAACTGTTCAATAAAAATGGTTTAGAATCGGAATTAAAATTCACAGGGAAAGATGTGGGCCAGAGAAAAAGAAAATCTTGACAAAAGCAGACTTAAAAAAATTAATGTCTTTGAAAAATGAATGCATATATATGATTACGAAAAAATTGATTACCCCCTTGAGAGGACAGAACTCTCCCGCCTTTTTCCGTGGTTTGCATCGACGACCAGAACAGCACTCTGTTTTCTTGCAGCTACTGTCGCTTGAACAACCCGTCGGCGTTTTCACGCACGTTCCCCAATAGTGATGATAGCCATATCTTTTACAATAGTATCCATGTACACAGCCACAGTGGTAACCATCAGGCTGTGAAAATCAAAACTGAAATTTTTAGAACTTTGAATTTCAAGGAAACAGTAGAGCTGCGCACGGTCTATCGATAATTATGATTCATCAAAACTTTTTACCCGTGCACGATTGGTCTAAAGGCATCACGTAACCAGATATTCCTTTGCTAAAACTGAGGGACATCCGAGGATATCACCCAAGTGATATATTACTCGATTTTCAATCTTTACTTCCATTACGACAAGTCTTCGTTTGAAATTTAAATTTTAGATGAGAGAACGGTTTATGGTTGTTACAGAAGAAGGGACATATTTGTTTGTTGATAAAGTCGCACCAAAAAACTTCTTTTCACGCTCGTTGTAAAATATTTCAAGGATTATAAACACAACAGCCTTTATTTTGCGTGAAAGTATGCTCGGACAACAGTACTGTTCCCATCGCAGAACAGATAATGTCCGCGGGAAATGTACGGGTATATCGTGGCGCCAAATGGAGGCCATTGTTTTTATCTATTCTAATGGAAATCGCATATCCAGGAACTTTGATTGGAAACGTAGCTCTCTTTCCTCTCATTCTTATCCTTTCAAAAATAGTTACAGCTATTTACCGAAGTGACCAGCGGTTGATACCGAAGTGACCAGCGGTTGATACCGAAGTGACCAGCGGTTGATAATTACCGAGCCTCTGGGCGGCGGGGTAAACATCCACCGTTAGCCACCTCCATTGAGGTGAATAGCTGTTTTAGTATGTGCGAAAAAAGTCAGATGATTTGTGTAAGTACATGCAAAAAAGTAGGATAATTTAGCACAGAAAGATAATTTTAACTCATTTATTCCTGTAGCGTTTGAGGTGCAAATCCCACGCGCGTTGCTCAGAGGTGAATAACAAAGTAGCAAATCAGAGCGCATCTTCAACGTTATCCTTTCCTTTATCACATACTAATGACCAGTTTTACTCAAAGGTATATTTTCCTATTCGAAGCGCTTTCGAATCGGGCCATAGACACGTTGAGTCTCTGGTAAAGACAAATGATATCCAAATCTAGCTCACCTTTTTCCATGGACACCAATGTCCCGGTTGCTTGAGGTTCAAACAGGATCCATACCAGTGCGAGTAATGCCTCGCACTGCATTGCGTGCTAGAACAGTGCGATTGGTGAGTGCATTTACGCGGGTAACAACAGCGGCCGTAGTAACAGTAATCTCCTGGGCATTGCCTTTGGTAGTAACATCTTCTCTGTTAAAAACAAACAATGATCAGTAAGCATAGTTTCCATTTTGTTTTTATTTACATTCCCTTAGGTGCCAACAAAGAGAATTTGTTTAACATTCAGAGCTTTTATTGTTCTGGCTCCGGTTGTTCAAAGGGTGGATAACGCTATCCAACGGATAAATCGCTATCCAGCGGATAAGTGTTACCAAAACGTACTGCGCTAGCCACCGGATAGAGATTTATCCAGTGTATAGCGGTATCCATCCTTCGAACAACCGGGGCCTGTAGTTCAAACATATTTTTTTCATAAATTGACAGTCGTTCATTCATCAGAAATTGATATGAAGCAACAAAATGACCAATTCGTAGCTGGCTTGTTAGTTTATTTGGTAAAGTACTCCAGAGGTCATGGGTACAACTCCCGTACAAGCCTGGATTTTTCGGGCTTTCTTATCACTACTGTGAAGTAGTGTTGACTCCATTAATGGAAAGATGACTTCCTTCTTCACTTGTTAATGCGCATTTCAAATACATGATGTTCATATTTTCACGGTTGTTGATTCAAGAACTTCTTCAGTTGGTGATAAAAATATCTTATTAAACGTTTTGTTGTGTAGTATCTATGAGCATTTTTACGAGGTTTGTCATACTACACAACAGAACGTTTACTAAAGGATTTCTTATCCAACACGCCAACTTGTCATTTCAGCGCGGGCGAATCTTGCGGTTATTTGTTTAGGGGAGTGCGTGACAGAAGTATGCAAAGCGGGTCTGAATTGGCGCGTTGTCGTGTTGCTGTTTCTATTTTCTTGAATAAATGATAAAATTTCATTGTCGTCTAACTGCTTTTCTTCGTTCGATTTTTTCTGATAAACTCGGATCCATATTCGCCAACCAATCCGACTCTTCGTCGTCGAAAAATAATTTAAATTGTCCGCCATATTTTTTCGTAACTTCAATCCAATTTGTCGCTTGCGAGATGCGAGAAAACCTGTCTAACCAGTCCTCTGGAGTTCAAATACCGCGAGATATTTGTACTCGTTTTGGGCGTTATTTGTACTCTACGAAACACAGTTGGATAATAGAGAGACTTAGCACCGCGTTTACGTGGCTGGCAAGAGTGACCACGTGACCTTGTTTTCCCGCTAATTTTTCACGTTTGTCGGTTGTGATTTGCCGTTTTTACGTGAAAGTAATCTGTTTCGATTTTGCCGTTTACGTAATATTTTCTTCATGCATATTTTCTCTCACAAAGTAGAAGTTAATTGCTGGAAAAAGGGCACCAAAACTATTCCATTCCATTCATACAAGGGGGCCTTCAAACCCACCTTGACATAAGCTGCCGCGAAGCTAAAGCAGTGAGGATCGCAATATTTTACGTGAAACGGGAAAGGGCAAGCTTGCGTTTGCCATTTCACGCAGTGGGGTCAAAGGTTAACTGTGGTAATAGGAATGACGATACAAAAGTTTTCAGACAGGGATCTCACCTGGTAATGGAACAACTGTTAATGTATTTTTAGTGTTTTAAACGATACTTTTTGTAAGTAAACAGAATCATCCAGCATTTTATTAAGTTCGTGCTCAACGTACTAGAGTTGTACTACACGACCCGGTGTTCTCAAACTGCGGAACCAGTTATTATTTATCGCCTTGAAGGGGGAGTGGGAGGGGAGAGACAGGTGACAAAGGATGTTGGGGGAGTTTATATGATTTTCAAGTCGTCTCTAATAGAGTGTGAAGGGGGGATTTAGAAAACGGACAGCCAATTAAATAGTTGCCAATGAAGGAAGGGAGTCATCCGCTAAATTTCAAGGTGACAAGTCGTGGGCTAAGAGCAGCCAATATTTAGCCCGCAAATTTGTTGATTCTTTTTTTTAACGTTTACCAGTAAAAGTAAATACTTTTAAGGTTTATGGGACGACTGTTGCATGTGGCAAGTTCTTTTGTGAGCGATGTTAGAAAGCAATATTTAATAACAATAAATTTTCCCGTGCGAACTTCATAAGTGAAGTTAGTACTTCATTTTCTGTCGTATTTCACCTTAATTTATTTTATATATATATATTTTTTAATTTTCCAATTGACTGAGATATTTTTTGATTTAAAACGTAAAAAGGGAAGAATTTACCCTCTTGTCTGATTTCTCTCTTCTGTTTACCTGTCAGGCAGTAAGTTTGTTCACGGTATATCGGCAAACCAACGTTGCTTACCAATAAATTTACCGACTTTTGCATTCGATAAAAGTTTTTGATGAGATACCCACGAAAAGCTGGGGTATTTCTCCACTTGACAACAACTTTACGCTTTGCTTAAAAGCCTCAAAACTATTTCTTTCCCCTATGTTCGCCTGCTCCAAGAAGGCCGCCGAAATTTTCACGAAGAAATACTGAGCGTTCGCCTGCCAAAATAGATGAGGAAAAGATTTAAGATATTATTTTTTAAGTTTAAGTTTAATTAATTCGTCACAGGAATGACAGAAAAAAGGAACAGAACTTTCCTTCCAATTGACACCTAACCCCTTTTTTACCCACTCATCCCACCCCGGGGAGGACATCCATCACACAGTAATCTCGTGTGTGGGAAATTTACGTCTCCTACCCCAACCTTGCAGGAGACGGGACCTCCATTTATCGTCCCTATCCGAGAAGACTAGAAAGTCTAACCATTTTCGGATATTATTACAAAGGCAGCACTTTCTTCCCAGTTAATTGAAGACCCTGAGTGTTTGTCCGGCCGGATTTGAACTCACGACCTCCCGCACAACACTCCGGTGCTCTACCAATTGAGCTAACCGTTGACTTGAAAGAAATTTTAAGTTTCTTAATTTCTCGGTCTAACTGATTATTTCTGAATGGGCAATAAATCCAAGTTAACCTTGAGTGCAATTTTCTTCTTTCTTTTTTCAATAATAATTAAGTGATTACATGTCTAGTATTGCTAGCTCCATCTCACGGAACTAAATTCGGATCTCCAGGAAATGGATCAGCGTATACTAATACAGTTTGTTACTCAGTTCTATTGTAATCCTGGCAAAGCAAGCCCGGGTTCTCGAATGAGAAGATGTCAACGGAACGGAACATACTTCTCAAAGTAGTTAAGGTAGAGGTGTTTACTGATGATCAACAGACATAATTGTAGCTTACAGCTCTTGTCGATGCTACGTCTAGAAAATTGGCTCATCCTCGGTGTAAAAACCTGTGAAGCTCACGACTGACGTAAAACAAAGACAACAAAACATTATAAACAATAGCGTACAGAAAAACAATACCTCATGAAACAAAGAAAACCTCGTCGGGTTCTTACACCGAGGATGAACCAGAAAATTTCGAACTCGCGCTCGGTTGAGGAGACTCGAGGAGCCGATTAAGGTTTGTGATTGAGCGAGTGAGCGAGCGAGCGAGGTTTGACCAGGAAAATAAATAAAGAAGGGCCGAGCGATGATAAACCTACAAGACAGAATTTAAAGACTTACAAATGTTCTCCTGACTGTAGCGATGGCGCTGAAGCTTGAGTTAAGAGTCTAATAAGATCGGCAACGAAAACTTCGGGCTAGAAAATACGTTGAAAAATTCGCGCGCTAACAAGCCGTAGCGTGCAAATAGCTCCAAAAAAGGCATGCATTAATGATAAGCTAACACAAAAATTCTCACGTGGAATCCTACAATGATTACGGCCGTACAAACACTTTTAAGTTAAGTTTTTTTAATCGTATTGTTGATATGCGGAATTCACTCCCATTTTCAATTAGATCAGCGTCTAGTCTCTCAAGTTTTAAACTTGGTGTGAGGAACTTCCTAATCAATCCCAACTACACTGGGAAAATTACCGAAAGCTCATAGTCGCATATTTTAGAATTTTTAAGGCAGATTTTAATTAATGATATTAATTATATTAAATCATATTTTCAAACTACATATTTAGTTAGGTGGTCTGTCTGAGGATGTGGTCTTGGACTCTTTTACAGACTATCCTTATAGAATTTCTTTTGTTATAAGTAGTTGTATTACTTTGTTAATTGCCATTAAATTGTACTAGATAAATGAATAAATATAATTCAATTTAGTTCTATTTGCCACTTGTTTCCTGATTTTAATTATAAATTTGTATGTGATTTATTGATCTCGATTGATACTTGCTGGATTGCCTCGCACTCGGCTCTCTTGTCAAGCTTCCTTGTTTAGTTTATTTCCTTCTAAATCAAGAGTAAACGATGTTTGATTTATATTACATTTTCTTTACTCTTTATTTATCTGTTTATTCCTAATTCATTATTTTTATTATTCTATTTTGCAGATTTCTCTTGTCCAGAATTGCCCTCTCCATCCCATGGAACAAAGTCGGTGTGTCCGTTAAATGGTTCAGTGAATCATGGTTCAGAGTGTTATTTCTCTTGTTTAAATGGCTATGCAGGATTTGGTTCTCATAGAAGATTATGTCAAAATGGAACATGGACTGGACAGGACTTATCTTGTAGACGTAAGTTTTTAACAACACCCTCCCCCCTTACGTCTCATGCGTCAGAACTTTAGGAGTCAAATCATATTATTTGTTATTAAACTTAAATATTTTTTGTCCACAAAGTGCGGTAAATAGCCCATTTAGACGTGTCTGTAAAACTGACTCCCGAGATGTTTTTCTCGTAGCAAAACAGACTAGCTCTTGAATTTCAATCAAGTAAACATCTGTTGATTTCAAGTCGGACGTAACCCGTCTTCATAGAAGGGGAAATACTAAAAGGGAGAAGAGTACTTCGTTGAAAGTTATGAATAAGCCTGACTGCCATGGCTAGAAATTAAGAAAATTCCACAAAACAATTTCACCGAAACAGTTAGGGCTCAATCTACGCAGCTTGCACTCGTCAAGCTCAAGCTGTTTTAGAAAACTTGGTATCGAAATTTCCAGAAAGCAAAATGGAACTAAAGTCTGTCACGCGCAACTGATGGCTAATTTCCCGCATACGTTTTTGCTGAGAACCTTTTGAGACTCGTCAAGACGCCGCAATTTCAGTGGTAAGAGTTTTGATCTAATAATAATAACAATATATAATAATAAATAAATTTAGCAATGGACATTCCACTGGGTGGTTATTCTTGTCCACTGTTTCCAGATCGAAATGGAATTTGGAATGTTGATTTTTGCAACTAACTTGACACATGGATTTACTAAGTCGACCAACTAAGATTTGACCTTGCTCGGAAAAGGCTTTTATTTTTTGGGAGCATCAGCTCTTAATTTTTTACATCTAAAAATCAAGCAAATTAGCAGAAGGGTACTATTAGGGAGTCTAGATCAATTGTTTGTATAGGTCATTTAGTTAGTTGCGTAGTCATTCTTATCTTATTCTAGTTTTTATCCTTTTTTAGACAGGACACCATTCATAACAGTGCCCCTGCACTGAAGGGCTATCCTGTATGAATATTCGTTATTATTATTATTATTATTATTATTATTATCGTTATTACCCAGGCTTCCTTCGCTATTTTACTACTCCGCTATTATTGCTTCGTTTGCTATTTCGCCCCGTTTTACAAACTTAATGTTTAGAACAGGCTAGAAAGGATTTCTAGTTTTTCTCATGATTAGAAGTACGGCATCAAAAGAACTAGCCACACGACAGCGGACAGCTGAGAGAGACGTCATCGAAATGCGTCAATCACTGCTGTAGAAAACTTTACCAATCACAGCGGAGTAATGCTTCGTGGTAGTGCGCAGTGAAAATCCCGCCATAGATATCAGATATGGTCGCATCACGAGACAAGCGATAAATAATCCACCGTTAGTAATCAATAATCCCTGTTAATTCGTCACAAGATATATTTTACTGACATTGACTGACATTGGCCGATTATCTCGGATACAAATGGGTTTGATTTAAGGCAATTTTTTTCTTTTCCTTAGAACTGAGCCGTCCGTGCAACGCTTCATGTCTCTTGGTTACAACTTCTCACCAAATTATGGCTTTGGATTACAATAACAACGCGAGTCATTCACTCATATCTACCTTATCGTCCCCCGAAGCTGTGGACTTTCATTATGAACTGGGTTACATGTTTTGGAGTGATAAACGCGAGAGAAACATCAAGCGCTCAAATATGGACGGCACAAACATTACAGTGATCCAAGTGATCGCGGACTGTTACGGGCTTGCCGTGGAGTGGAACTCAATGCAGTTGTATTGGACAGACTGGAGAAATCGCAGCATATCAGTATCAGATCTCGAGGGGAATAACAGACGTGTCTTCAATTGCTCAATCTCAGGTTCCCCAATAGGGATTGTTCTCGACCCACACGAGGGGTAAATATCTATTAGAGAAAGAAGCCGTAATCTAATAGCAACCCCGTCAAAAATGTTGCTGTATATATATGTTAATGTGGCGTCGAGTGGGGCTAGCAATAAGGCTGCCTGTTATCGCAGGGTTAAAGAGGTGGGACAAAACTGACTATGCGTTTTTGCATCCACACACCCCTTCCTTCCCCAGATAATTAGTTCAAGCTTCAACATTACAGCTAAATTCGATTAAAAGATTTTACCTCGGGGAGTTATGAAGACAACAACAAGCATAAGAACATCTCCCATTTCTTTAACAGTCAAAAAATGCAGGGTAGAAAACGTACAGTAAAGACCGGTTCAAACAGGACCCTTACAACATTTTGACCTCATCTGTGATTTACTGCACCTAACATTGAAAACATTTTGAATTCAAGTTTCAGGGGAATTCTTCAGGGTAAACACTCACTCGACGAAAATATTTATATGTGCCATGGTCTCTCCACAGAGTGATGTTTTGGACTGAAATGATTGCAAACAATTTTTCAAAAGTCATGAAATCAACTTTGGACGGAACACAGTGCGCCACTCTGGTAGCTTCCAAATTTTTTACCTTTGCTGGCATCACTCTTGACAGACGAAGCAAACTTGTTTTCTGGTTGGAACACGAGAGGAGTGTTTTAGAATCCGTCGATTATAGTGGAAATAACAGAAGGGTAGTCTTAAATAATTTGCCTCACTTAAGTCTCTGGGGAGTTACCTTCACCTCGTCATATTTCTTCGTTACTTCATTCTACCGCGACCTTTATAAAGTAGATGCCTCCAATGGATCAGTTATTAGGATGTTTGTGGAAGAAGCCTGGATGTCTTATGGACTCGTTGCATTCGACAGCTCCTTGCAGTCCTCAGGTTTGTTATCCTAAAGTCTAACCATTTTCGGATATTATTACAAAGGCAGCACTTTCTTCCCAGTTAATTGAAGACCCTGAGTGTTTGTCCG